GGTCTACCCTTGCCATGTCAAAAGCTGTCCAGTTGCATTATGGGTAATGTGCTCCTCAGATTGCATAGAGCTTTTTTGGGGGGGGTCGCCAGAATTGAGGCATTGTGGCTGAAATAGCAGAGCGTACATTGTGTCATTGTTCATACAGAACACACACTCAGTGTACTGGATGTCCAGCAGTGAGCAAGCGTGTGAGTCAGAGGTCAGACTGGGTGCCAAGACCGGACAAGGTCAAGACTCCTACTCAGAACAAACCAACAACACACAACAAAAGAGTGTCACACTGCAGACAGGGAGGCTGGCAGGGAGCAGAGACGGGGTGGACGAGAAAGAAGGGAGAGAACCAAAGTAGGAGATGACAAAGAATGAGGGAAATGTAGGGAGTGAATGATGGTGGGTGAGGGAAGAATGCAAAGAGATCGATAAAGACAAGAAGAGCTGAAAGACTGCAAGAAGAGGCGTGTAGGCGAGGGAGAGGAGGGTGCATGGATAGGGTTAGAGGAAAGTTGGAGAAAGTGATGGCAGGTGAGCTGAGATGCAGACGGGGTTCAAAGACGAGCAAGAGAGCATGAAACAATGAACAAGAGATGGGAGGCAGACGCAAGTGAAAAGCGGCGATCATTGTGTCTCCCGGTGGTGCCCAGATCTGGGAGGTCATACCACATCAGCTCTGATGCTCGTGTGTGTGTGTGGCTGTGTGTCACAGAACAGAACACCACAGTTATTCAGTGTCTTCACAAAGGAACCACTGTGTTCTGGGACAGACGGCACACACTGTCTCAACACTCATCTTTTTTGTGATTTGAAGCTTTTCTCTGTAGATTCCTCAGACAGACACATATTCATACACTGTGTAAATCACACATACACTCAACCACTTGGAGATTGACCTGTGCTGCTCTCTGCTGGCGAACACACATTAGAGCAGCTCAGTCGTGGTTCAAATCACTGGTCCTCTTACCGGGTGTCCCGGAGGCTTCATTTTGTCATGATCTCCATCAGCAGAGATGATCTTAGTTATCAAACTGGCCTGTAAATCTGCCTTTTTAACAGCACAGATTTGACGAAGAATGATTAATGTGACTCTTAGGATTCTCAAACTGAAGTAGTTCAGTCAAATTTCAACCTGTCTGACTTTAAAAGGCCTGCAAATATCCTAATCCTGAAGGTGTTCACTATCTCTGCTACATAATGTGATTTTCACTTAAAGGCAGTTTTTAAGATGTGTGTGAAACATTCCCAAATCTTATTTCCCTGCATGTGATTAAATTTGAATTGCTTTAAAGTGTTTATTGGACAAAATTAAATATTTCAGTCGGTCTGTTTGTGCTCTTAGAAAATGTATTGGGTGTTTTGGAGATGATGCAGATTTGTCTGGAAACCACGTGATGTTTTTTTTTCATTTTTGAATAACTTGATATTAAGAGTAGTCATTAACTGCTAAAGTACCTTTAATCTCTAAAAGTTAGATGCTAATCCTCTTCCTCTCTTTCCATGTGTTTGTGCAGCTGAACTGGAGTTTGTTCAGATCATCATCATCATCGTTGTGATGACTGTGATGGTGGTGGTGATCATCTGCCTGCTCAACCACTACAAGCTCTCCACCTGGTCTTTCATAACGAGGCAGAGCCAGGCCCGCAGGCATGACCATGCCCTACAACAGGTCAGTGTGGGTGGGTGGGTTTGTGGGCGGGTGGGTGTTTGAGAAACAGAGAAAGAAAGGGAGAGCTAAAAAGAGACTGTTTGTTTGTGTTGCTTGTACTGAGTGGCTCAGACGGCACTGTTCTCCCAGCATCCATGCCAGTTACATTTTGATCTAAACTGGTGTCTGTGTGTGCGCGCGCATGTGTGTTCATCTGTTCTCACTGAATGTCCCTGCCTAGTCATTGTGACAGTACATTTCTGTATTTCTGCAGCAGGACAAACATAGCTTACCAGTATGTTCCCAGTAAAGCTGTGCTGAGCTAAATGAATCCTTTTATCCCAGTCTGAGTTTCTGTCCCAGTTTCAGCGAGGTAACGTCTTCGCGCGCGTCTGTTAGATGAACTTGCTGAATTGGTTTCTTCAGAGCCAGACTCTGTCAGGCCTTGATGTTTAATTCACTACAGCGCCGTCTAGACAGCAGCCGCTCTGCCCCCGTACTGACATGTACACTCTGGGACAAACACACATGCACACACACATAGTTTATTTACGTGCGTTGAAATAGACTCGGGCTCAAAACGTGATGCATTATGGATCTATAAACATATTCAGCCTAATGATTTGTCAGCTTTAGCGTACTGTTACCAACAATTTGAACATTAGTGTTCAGCTAATAAGCTCTGCTTTTTGATTCCTCCTGCCACTCTGTGCTGTGTATCATTCAATCAAAGCGAGGTACAAAGCAACATCAGAAAGCAACAAGCCCACTGAATGCAAATTGGAAGAATAGCTGATGACCTTTAACCCTAAAAGATGCATGAATAAACAGTATTTATGCATGTTTATGCTTCTCATGTTGCCCCCCTCCCCTAACAAAAAAAACCCAGCTAAATGTTGTTGACTGTGCTGTCTGAGAAAAAATCCTCCAGTCAAGTGTAGATGAAGAGGAAACTGCAATTATTTGACAGTTGTGTTTATTTGTTGTAGCTTTTATCCTGCCTATTTTTAAAATGGAGCCTTCTGTCTTTTGTTGTGCTCTCAAACAGGGCAGAATTTTGTGTTTGAAGCCATCAGGCATTTCTCAGTGCTGCTGTTTCATCTTTTGTGTCCTCATTAAGTTGTTACTTTTTGGTTTTTTGTTGTTGTTTTTTTAAATTCATGCTTTCTTCTTCTTCTTCTCCTTTTTTTGTTCTTTAGCTGTGAAGTAAGAAAGTTTGTTAATGGTGTCACATCAAAATACTTTTCAGACACAGCAAACAGTAATGACGGCAGACTTCTAGAGCATTACACATTTTATCCCTAGAGCCCAGCCCCAGCTCATCCTCAGTATCCAGCACTGGATATCTAGGCGTATATATTTGGTCAGCTCAGATTCTTATTGTTACATTAGGAGCTGCTCACCTGGACAGGCTCCGTGATGACACCATTTTTACATTTTCTTTTACATGTATTTTTCTCATCTTAAATTCTGGACCAGTCCTGTTTATGCATCTCTAGTAATATGTTGTTTTTGTTGTTAACCTGAACATCCCACTGAAGCACAAACACAACAATCTTCAACCCACCCGGGGACTTTTTGAACCTTTGCCTTCCTCTTTGTTTGTGTCTCCATGTGCAGGACGGGTGCCTGTGGCCTTCAGACAGCGGCTCTCGGCAAGGCGCCTCGGAGGTAAGACCACCACACTGACCCCCGATAAACACATTCAGCTAATGCCGCATGTTATAGGAGCTGAGTGCTCAGCTGAATGAAACTTCACTTTTCCACAATGAAACTGAGTATTGCTTTGGCTACACTTGTTATATGTAAACTTACAAATATTGAATTTCAGTAGATTCAGCAAGTTCTTACTAAAATTTCTGCTAGTTTGGCTGTCTGCAGGCTCCTGAGTGTGTAGCCTCTAACCAGTTAAGTTACTGTGATAAGGTTGTTGGTCTTTTCTCTCTGAGCGTTGGATCTGGAAACAGCTGTGATCCTTGGACACGTTTTCTGTCAGGAATTTCCTTGAATTGCAGGAGCTTTTAGAAATTCTCAAACCTTTAACAAAGTAAGGTATAAAGAACTAAATGGAGACAATGACTCTTGTCAGCATCGCAACTATAAGGAAACAATGAACGCATAAAACAGCACTTTTTAAAAAATAAAACACAGTTACACTGATGGTCTCTCCAAACAAACAAAAAACTATGAACATGCAATGATGATGTCAACAAATATTCAGCCCAGCGCAGTATCCTTCCTCAGTACAGAGTTTGTCTGCAGGCAGAGTGCGTAGAAGAGTGTGGAGGTATTGTTAACTGCAACGTATGGCTGAATAAACTTTGATAATCTGACACATTTATTGCAGCTGCATCTCAGTCAGAATCACAGCGTGACCACCTGGACTTGGTTCATTTGTTTAGGACGCTAAATTAGTTTCTCGCCTCGTTTTTAGGGAAGCAATTTAAATATTAATAAAAACCTCATTGGCAGCTCTGGTTATGGGTTAATTCAGTGTTTGTCCTTGTGGAAAAACCAAGTGATCTTTAAAGGCTTACAATCAGATGCTCTCTGCTGCTGAATATTTTATTTTCAAGTAGCTGCAGCCCAAATAAACACAACAAATACAGAAGCCCAAAATTCCTACCTTTTTATCAAACTAAAATGCTATGAAAAGAACATAGATGATAAAAGTGCATTTAACAGTTTGGCATTCAGAGTCGCTATAGAGAAGTGCAGTGTGTAAAAATGGTAATTAAAAGGAATAAAACAGAGAAAGGAGACCTGAACACACTCAGGGATGGCTTTTGTCTAATCTCCACGCTCTGCTCGCCCCGTTATAAAAGACATCCATTTCCTCTCAGCTTCTCTTTGTGTCTTTGTTGGCTTATTTATCAGCGCTTGCCCTTGTAGAGTTGTTTGGCGGTTCAGTCAGGGCCCAGAGAGCCTGATATGTGCATTTTTTTTGCTTGCTGGTAAATATTTGATCGTGCAGGAATTGGAGCTCACACACTGTGTTGCAATGGGTATGCCTGGCACTGTACTCCAAAACAAGATCAAAATTGGCGTGTTCTCAAAGACGCGTGAATACAAAAGCACAAACAAATGCCAGTATACTCATTGTGACTGGTGATCTGATCTCTTAATTGCTTTGATGCCAGATGGAGGAGCTTCCGAGTCAGGGTTGGAAGAGACGCGCTGGGTTAAAAGACTGCTGGAAAGTCACATGGTAGTATTGATTAGTTGCAGATAATAGTATATTGAGGCTGTGTGAAAGTTTTAGCTGGCAAGTGTGGATGCACTTTGGCAGTCTGTGCTGGCTTGTAGGGGCTTATAGCACCAAGCCGGATTTAAAGTGCCCCAGTATTTATGCGACACAGAGAGGGGAGGTAAAAACAACGTGTGCACCCAGAGAGACCCGGAAACTAAGGAAAAGGCCGCGGAGAGACGAACGCAGAGGGAGACGCAGCCACCGAGTGTGGGTGGCTGATGGATGCAGGGATGGGGGCTGACTGAGTGTTTGTGTGGCAGGGCGGGGGGTTGGATGGTTTTTGGTGCGTCATTAATCAGCAACACCTCCCCTGACACTGTCTAGACAGACGTCTGAGAGCTGCCCCGCTCTGCTGCGCTCTGCTCCCTCTATCAGCTCCACACCTTTCTCCCCCTGCCGTCTGTCTATTTGTCTATCTCTGTCCTTTCTCTCTCTGCCTTCAGCTCTTTTTCCCTTCTCGCGTTTTTATCTCGCCGCCTCTTTCTTCTCCTCCTTTCATTTCTGTGCTCTTTCTTTCTCTCGCCTTATCTCAGTAGCCTTTCCTTTTAATCCTTTCAGTTCCACTCTTTCCCTCACTCCGTCTCTCCATTTCAATTGCCCCGATCCTCTAAAACCCCCCTCCCTCCCCCGTCTGTTGTTCTCTCCACCCAGACTGCCTTGTCAGTGGGGGTTGGCTATTAGAGCCGCAGTCACTAATTGAAATGGGTTCCCTCTGATAATGACTCGACACAGTGGAAATGTGTGGAATTGGATAGAAATGTGAGAAATGAAGAAATGGATCATGCCGTCACAGTCTGAAGAGTTAATTGAGGTGAAGATCTCTGACAAAAGCTGAGTGCGGTGTGTTTGAGTGCGGGCTCCTTTCTTCCTCTTTACTGTAATTACATTGTAATGTCTGTCACAGCTAATTGGTGGCACGCTGGCGTGTGCTGTTGCTGCACCAGGATATCATTCATTTTAAATATGCAGCATGGTAACCATACTTCACCGTACGGAGCCTCGTCTCCCAGGAAAAGCTCGCGTGAAATCAGCGTATACAGAAATGATTGTTATGCAGAAAGCATCATGTGACTTGCTGTGAGGCTATAACTGGTTTACACTGTGACCAAAACAGAATAAACAAATGAAGGCTGTGTACAGGGTAAGGTCAGAACTGCTAAACTGTTAATAGACTCTGGGTATGACTCTAAAAATGACAGGTAATGAATTGGGATGGATGAATAATCACAGATAAGTCACTTGACAAATAAAAATGAGAAACACTTGTTGCTTCCAGCCTCATTGCTCGTTTGATAGATTTGGATTTTGGATTGCAGGCCAGACGTGATCAGTAGTTTTTGCTGCTACAGTGTCATTAACTCACAAGGCTGACTGGTCATGAAAATGATTTTAATGATTAAAAAAAAGATTTTTAACGATGAGCTGCTCTCAAGATGAATTATTCCCAAAAACTCAAACAGAAGTTTTGTAGATCAAACAGTGAGTCTGAGTTCATTGCACTGAACATCAGTTTGAGTGTTTGGTCATTTTCACGTTTTATGTGTATCAGAAAGATGTTATTAAGACTGATCGATTTCCTGTTGAGGTTTTATCTTTGTCCTCTCCTCGTGCATGTCCCAGCTCATTCACTCCTCCGTCTCGCTCTGTCTCTCAGGTGTTATATGCTCCGCAGGCGAGGGATCGCTTCACCGCTCCCTCCTTCATGCAGCGTGACCGCTTCAGCCGCTTCCAGCCCACCTACCCCTACCTGCAGCATCAGATCGACCTGCCGCCCACCATCTCCCTGTCGGACGGGGAGGAACCACCGCCGTACCAGGGACCCTGCACCCTCCAGCTCCGTGACCCCGAGCAGCAGATGGAGCTGAACCGCGAGTCGGTGAGGGCACCGCCCAACCGGACCATCTACGACAGTGACTTGATCGACATGGGAGGAGGCGGGAGTCTAGGAGGGGTAGGGGGAGGAGGGGCGGGGATGGGAGGCGGTGGCCCGAGGCCGCCCAGCAGTAACTCGGGCATCAGTGCCGCCAACTCCAGCAGCCACGGGCGTATGGAAGGCCCCCCGCCAGCATACAGCGAGGTGATAGGCCACTACCCTGGCTCAGCATTCTTTCTACACCAGCACAGCAATAACCAGAGGGTGGGGAGGCCGGGGGGGCTGGGGAGCAGGACAATCCAGCAGCAGAGCCAATCAGAAAGCACAATTGTACCTGCCAAGGCCAAGGACGGCCAACCAGAGGACTTGGTGTGAAGAAACAGGGAGGGGAGAGGTAGGGCCACCCACCCCAGACTGAGATCTGTGTCTCTCGTTCACCCCAGACCTCCTGTAAGCCGGGGTCTCTCTTATCGCTCTCTCTCACGTCCTCTCTCCACACTCCCATGCACAAACACACCAACTTTAGCTACAGAAACGAGCAAAGAGAGGAACCAACAACTGATCTCATTTCATCCATGCGCTAGCACTGCTGGGACAGGATGTACGCACTGTGTCCAGACTTTTTTTTTTCTCCTTATTTTAAGAAAGAACCACACTGCTAGCACAGATTGAAACAGTTTTCTCTTTCACCCCCCCACTCCCCCCGGCGGTGATGCCGCTGTCCCCAGGAACTGAGGAGGGATCAGTTTTGGGGGGGTTTGTTGTTTTCTTCTTTCTTCATTGTTTTTCTGTTTTTGGACCGGGATCTGTGCACAAAGCGAGAACTGAGAATCAAGGACTTTACAGAGAACACAACGAAACAAGAGACTCACAAACCCAAATCTTAGTGCCAAGGTTCACAAGGAAGCAAAACAAAGGGGGGGGGGATGACTTCTAACATTGAAAACACAAAAGAAACGTTATCTCAAAGTTGCACTATCTTTTTGTTGTAAAAGAGAAGAGGGAAATGATGTTATGTTATAACAGCGATGTTTTTAATTTCCTGTCTTGTTTGTTTGTTTTTTGGCCTTTTTGTGAATGGACTGATTGACTGACTGAACTTTGGCTCCAAAGTTGTTTTGAACAATTGGGAGCAAAAACAAAAAAACAAAACAAAAAAAACCCAACAACAACAAAAAAACAACAACAAAAAAAAAACAAGTATTATAAGCTTATGTCCTTCCTTTTTTGAAAACCGCAAGAAATCCTTGTACCCAGCCTAAACATCTCTGTCTGCTTACACCACAGGCACAGTGAGACTTAGTAAGAGAATAACCTGTACTGCTTCATGTCTGCGTTCACATCATGGGGAGGGGTGGGGGGGTAATCTGCCTCATGAGCAGCTGCTGGATTGATGGCGTGTTATAACTAACCACCAGAGGAAGTGAGCAAAGATTAGAGTCGTAAACACAGCTTGGCTGGATTCAGTGCGATCCAGGCTCAGGTTTGTGAGATATCAGCCCAGCTGTTTTGATATCAAAAAAGCCCTCAGCCCCTGTTAAGGAGGGTCTGTCTAGCAGGTGGTCAGAGCAGATTCTTCTCATTTCAAATCTACCCTGACTGCTGAGTACCTGATGTTTCCTCTCGCCCCCCTTCCCTGCATCCAGGTCCACCGCCCTTCCCCAAATGCTCGTCTCAGACATCTTGCACAGTGCATTCTGCCAACAGCCACCACACTGAACTCGAACCCACACAGAAAAACACAAAATATGTGAAGAAGAAGAAGGAGGGGGGGAAAAAAAGAAGGCTCGACTCTCCATCTTCACGTTTCTAAAGCCACAAAAGAATGACACAAAGTGAAGATTCCTGTCTGCGTCTGTCAGCACAGAGATCAGGTTTTTAAAGGAAAATTGTCTGTGGTCAAAGTCAAAGGGCTATGGGAGGCTCCTTTTTGTAAAAGAAACACAGAAAAAAAACCTTTTTGAAAATCTAGCCTTTTTCTCTGCTCATCGTTGCCTTCTCCTCTGCTCTTGCGCTTTATCTGTCTCTGTTTCCTGTTTGCGCCAGTCCCCCTCCCCCCTTTTCTAACGGCGTCTCCGGTAAACACTGTTCATCATCACTCCTTCCATCCATCCGTGTGCAGGAAAAGTGCGATCAAATGATGCAGAGTCCGCCGAGCCCTTTAAAGTGGAGACTGGAGTGGAGTTCTCATTCGGCAGCGTGCTGGTGCAGCCCTCTCCTCGCTGTATAAGTGTGTACACGTGTGCGTTTGTTGGTCAGACCTTTTAACAACACAGAAAAGCACTTAATGCTCCTGCAGGAGGTGTGTGTGTGTGTGTGTGTGTGTGTGTGTGTGTGTGTGTGTGTGTGTGCGTGTGTGTGCGTGTGTGTGTGTGATTGTAACTGAATGATTTATTAACTGACTCCAGTTTAAACATTCAAGGACATATTACTTCTTTATCACAGCTTCAGTTCAGCTTTCATCAGGATACAGTCGAGTGTCTTTCTTAAAAAGGCAGAAATGCTCCATGTTTGATTGTCACAGTGCAGAGGTGACATCCCAGTGAGCCTCAAACAAAGTGGACGCATCCAGCAAACCCCAAAAAGGAAAAGCCCAGCTGCATACTACGTACTGGTTCCAGGCGTGCTCGCAGTACAGCCTCAGCACGTCGGCGTGCACGCGGGACATGCTTGAGTGAAGTGCAGTCTTTATAGTCCCTCCATGTATTAAATCTTTGAAAAACGAAAGCTCTGCTTTCTTTTCAAGATCAGAGGACAAGGCTGTATGAATTTAATGTTTCTCCTACTCTCAGCAAATCCCATGAAAGTGTCTAAATACTTTTGCGACCTCCTCACCCCGTCTGTAGCGCTCGGCACTCAGCACCAGTTCCATTCATTTCTGCTGAACAGACAAAATATTTAAAAGAAGCATTTGGCTCAAGGTTAAATTAGTGTGTTTCTTGTTAATGCCAAAATTCATCGTCGAAGAGCAATCGCTTTCACAGTCCGCTGTTGTCACGATTTTAAAGCTCTGTACGTGGGAGTCATTATGACAGGTCTGTTAGTGGAGCTTTTTAAAAAAAAAAAAAATAATAATATCCAACCAGTGGATTTTTCAGCGTGAGGCTCACAGGGAGGTGGGTGCAGCACCTGGACGCTGCACACGTGGCTCTAGTTAGATTTGGACTGGTTGAGGACTATTTTAAGCTCAAACACATTTGGTGCTCTAGTGGGCACTAGCACCCACAGGAAGGCTGTGTGAGTCCATGTCCATGTAAACGGCTGCGTGCTGGTAATGAAGGAACATGCTTTCCAGTGCGACTCACTGTTATTCAACCACAGTCGGGCTCATGGGAATAACATGCTAACAATAACACGTTTGCAGAAAACGTGTGAATTTGTTGCCAGGATGTTTCAGAAAAGCTGAAGAAGTCGCAGGATGTTTCACAGCTAACTGGCAACAGGTCCATAGCATCTTTGATTAGAAAGGATCGTCTTTCAGTAAAGACGGTTAGTGATACGATACTCTGAAGACTGCAAGGGAAAACGTGTCTGTGGCCACGCTCGTGCCAGATGAAACCCTCAGTAATGCTGGGTGATGGAGCAACATGTGGTCCCACCCTGATGATCTTTCAGTGAAGCCTCTGCTTCTCATACCTATGGGATGAGCTGCTAGGATCAAATTTAAGCGACGCGTGAAAAATGTAGTCTGATCATTTGATATAATCTTGTTTAAACTGTACTCATTTAAATTATTTCCATTAGGCTGTGGTGGGTTTGTAACATTTTACACTGAATCCCAGGGTGCACTGGGAACATGCAGTACTTACGAATCTTTTCATGGGATTTGTTGACAAGAAAAAAATATAAAGTAACACCAGGCTGAACATCTTTTGTCACTCCTTGTTAGCGCAAAACTTGATGTCTTGTATGACGAATACACAAACCTCTGTAGCATGAAATGAAATGTGTCGGTGTAGATCACCTGCTGCTGCCAGATGAACACGGGTGATTATTGGACGAGTGCAGCAGTGTTCGATGGCATCATGCCAAACAGCTGAGGTGGAAGCAGGAAGTGGTTCTTCATGTATGTTTGTCCCCCTCCTTCCACACTCATGAGTCACTTATAAGAAAGTTTCAGTCAGTCTGAACAGAAGCCCCGTCGCCATCGGTGTGTTTGAATGTCCCAGTGGTGATCAGCTGACTCTAAGGTTTTGTTGTGTGTGTGTGAGTGAGATCACATCGCTGCTATTGCTGTTGCCGCTGCTACTGTTGTTGCTACTGCTGCTTCTCATGCTCACCCCAACCCGCCCAAAGTCTTTGTATCACCCCCTCCCCCCTCACATCAACCAGAAGGAGAGAAATCTGGCCCTTTGCAGTCAAACCCACAAGTATTGAGACATCAAGCCTTGTGTTCCAACACTTTGACTTCAGACGAGCAGAGGTGTGTTTACCTAGCAAAGATTGTCCCAACACTTTTGGCCTTTGACCTACTCCAGCCCCACATCTTCTTCCCCCGTTTTTTTAAATATTTTTTCCTTCTTCTTTTTTGTTCTCTGCTTGTTCTTTCTGCGCAGTCATAGCTTGTAAATGGAGGATACAAAGATGAATTTTATGTTTTCTACAAGGAGGTTTGCATGTTACTATTATGTGAGTAAATAAGGTGCCTAACGTTCATGTTTGAGCAGACCACACCTCAGTCAGACTGCTGCTGGGAATCCGCGAGGGTGGCTTCATCGCCGCCTGTCTGGCAGAATAGAGAAGCAGAGTGCGAGGACGGCCAAAAAGCGATCCTTTCTGTCTTTTTGTTTTTTCCTCTCTCTAAAGTCTTGGACGGATGAGCCTGCTCCGACATTTAGGATTCTGGGGCGTTCTCAAGCTCTTGTTAATTTAGCGACACCCACCCTCCCTCCCAATGAGCAACAGTGTGCCTGTTTCCAAACTTGCTGCTCCACCTTGAACTTTTTTTTATTTTAATTTTTTTGAGTGCGGCAGTTGCTCACCGGCCATTGTGCCAGACAGGACCGGTCGCTCCTAGAGAAGCCACCGAAGCCATTCCAAGCAGTAATGTGACCCGTGTGGAGCAGACATAGGAAACCCACTTGCACTCAAAAAGCTCCCACCTTCGTTGTGCCTCACTTCCAACGGTGCTTTTTTCAGTAGTCTGTCTTTCTTTATGTTTGTTTGTAAGATGCTGTATATAACTTGAATATATTATGCACATATCCTACCCAATGGGTAGAAACCACAAAAAGATGTTGTGAATAATGTAATATAATGTATAGACGATATAAGAATTTTAAGAAGGCAGCATCAAATTTGTAAATGCCTACAGTTAAAAATGTGCTTTGTCTTTTTTTTTCCTTTTCTTTTTTAAAAATAAGAAAACGTGGTTTGCAAAGTACGCTTAGAAAATGGTTGCAACACAAATACAAATTACTACTTAATAATAATATTTTGCTATGAATAGTCTGTTATGAGGACGAGAGAACCTCGGGATTAAGGACCCTCGTTGAGAGACGATATTCACGTGTTTGTCGGATTCTTCTGTCACAGTGCCAGCCATCATTTAGGCACTGGCTGATGATTTTTCTTTTGACCAACTAACAAATGTATAGCTCTATTATACAGATCTTTTAAGAAAACATATATCTCACACACACACACACGAGAGCTGTCAGCACTTCTCCGTGATCTAGGAGAATGTGCTCCTCTGTACGTCTGATTTTTAGTTTTTGTAATTCTGCCAAAGTGTAAAAACTCGCTGAGCACACCGGGCTCTGCTTATTGGTCCGGCTGGATGTTTAGGCATTTCAGCTCTAGTTTTTAATTGCATGGTTGTCAAAGAGGAAAACCATCAATGGAGGGGAAGAAGGAAAAAAAATCCATTTAGTGGTTCAGTTTGGGAAGTTGCACCAGCATGGCACGAGCGAGGGGAAAAAAGCCGTTCAAACTGTCACTTCTTTTGTTTTTGTTTGTTTCCTCTGTTATTTTTCACAATTATTTTCTACATTATAATGTTATATGTGGCACAGTATATTAAAACAAAAGTCATGTTTAATCTGCAGTCATTTATTTACAGTATGTACTGAAAATAACTCCACTGTACAATAACCGCAGAGCATGTTCATTCTTATCTATAGACGATGTACATAGCAACGCGCCATGTTCTCTTTGAAGCACCAAATAAGTGGCAGTTGTGTAGTTTATATTTGGAAATGGTCTCTATTGTAACTTTGGCTGGCGTGCCGCTCGGCTCTCCTCTTCCTTTAATTTCAATTTAAACGTTTTTCTTTCTCTTTTTCGTTTCCTGCACTAGCTTGAAGAATTAACGGGCTCAGACTGATCTTTTATTTGATTTCTCTCTTCGCAGTGCTCTCTCTCTCTCTCTCTCAGAAATGTGTACTCGACTGCTGACAAGACCACAAGTAGCTCTTTTTACTGTTCCTGATTTTAATGACGACGATATCGTGTCAACGGTTTGGTATTCTCTCAGTCTTGACAGCTAACATAGGACTGCTTCCATCATGGGTTTTGTAACATTGTTTAGCTTTCGTTACAAAAATGATTCTTCCTCTCCCCCCTCTGTGCTCAAATCTAGATATATATGGCTGTATTCAGTAACCATACAATGTGTGTGTGATTTTATATATATCTATATAAATATATATATATATATAATATAAAATACACACACATACACACAAACACAGAGGTAAAATTGTTGTGTATTTTTGCCTCTTTTTATTTAAGCAATTGTGATGTAATAGGTTTTAGGCCTAAGGTCTGTTATTGCAATACTTTTACAGAAAAGAAAAAAAAAATCAAAAAATGTTGCTCTAAGTGCTGTTGTAGTCAAAGATTTTATGCTTGTACTTATGCTGTAGTCAAACTGCAGCGTAATGAATAAAACTTTAAAAGTGATTACTCTGTTGTTCTGCCTGTTTGTTCCTGTAGTCTTCCATAGATAATGAGGTTTTGTAATGTGATTACTGTGAAGTCGGTGTGGGCAGCCCTGCCACTCCGCTCTTTATCTGTCCTCGCTGAAGCGGCCAAATAACATGCGAGCAGGATTTAAGGCGGGTCAGCAGCTTCACGGCCTTATTAACCTGCTTTTCTGTGTTGCTTGGCAATGCAGGTCGAAGCCCGCCGCACGTACATGCAAAACAGAGAGTAGGTTAATTGGCTGCTATGATACAATTAAGACATATGCGGTTCACGTCGCATATTTCAGGACCGTGTTTTATATTTGAGTTTATCTGGAGTCTGTAAAGCATGTAGGCTACAGGCACCAGTGAGTCTTGAGAAAGAAGATTTTGTCAAGCTCTCAATTACGTTTTAAACCACACATATACACCTTTTTTTCAGTATCACTGGTTTGGGCCACTACTATTCATGGAGACTTCAGATCCTTTCACTGCTCATCAAAGCAACCTGAAGTTCAACACTACTCATGCTCAGGACCTCAGCTGTGTATCTGTGTATCTCTGAGGCAAACCACATGATTGATTGTCAGTACAGGAACCTTTACCATTAAAACTGACATCTTTGGGCAGTTTTTGTCTGGAAAAATCCGTATGAAGCCCCAAGACTTTCCAACCAGTCTTAGGCTTAACCCTTGTGTTGTCCTCGGGTCATTTTTAATAATAATGGATTGGATTTATATAGCGCTTTTCAAGGCACC